AAAAAAAAAAAAAAAAAAAAAAAAAAAAAAAAAAAAATGCTGGGGATGTAGCTCTGTGAAAGTCCTGGATTCCATCCTCAATACAGGAAAAAAAAAAAAAAGAGGAAGGAGAAAAGGAGGAAGATTTGCCAAGTCAGAGCGTAACCCTGCCAATATAGGCAGACAGCAGCCATGGAAATGGAAATGAGTGGGTGGGGCTATTTGCCAATAAAACTTTATTAACAAGGACAAGGAGAAGGCCCTGCTTTGCCTCCTCTTCTGCTGTGAAAACCTGTGCACCCAATCAGCAGACCACCAGGGGTTAAAATCCAGCACTGGGCTGAGACATCATGGCACACACCTTGTAGCCCCAGCACTCCGGAAACTGAGGCGGGAGGATCCCAAGTTAAAGCGAAACCTGGGCAACTTAGCAATTCAGGGAGATCCTGTCTCAGAAATAAAACAAAATTCTTAAAGGGCTGGAGATGCAGCTCAGTGAAAAAGCCTTGGGTTCCTTCTCCAGAGCCGAAGACAAAAAGCAATGCTGGCTGGCTCCACCCTTGTCCCACAGACCTTGGGAAGCTGCCTTTCCTAGGGAGAAAAGCCACCCCCTCCACTTCTGGGCCCAGGAGAGAGAAACACCCGCCTCTCCCCAGCCCAGAGCGGAGAACTTGACCTTGGGTTCCCGGCTTTGGGAGGGGAAGGAGTGCTGGCCTGGAGTCAGACCAGAAGCTGCCCAGGCACCGCATCCAGTGCAGGGAGGGAGAAACAAGGCGCAGCCCTGAGGCCCCGCTACTGGGGAGGCGGCCAGGGCTCTGGGGCTTCGGGCGGGGGCTGAGCCCTGTGTGTGTGAACAGCAGGGGCCCGATAGGTACCAGGGGACACCCATCCTGGAAGCCCTAAGTGAGGTGGGCTGCAGGAGGGGCCTGGACAGAGGACCTGCAAGGTCCCACCCGCCCCCCAGTGTGCAGATTGAACCCTGGGTTTTCCCCTTTGTTTTGGTACTGGGAGTGGAACCCAGGGTCTTCCCGTTGGAGCTCCATCCCCAGCCCTTTTTATTTTTTGTTTTGACACAGGCTCTCACTAAGTCACTAAATCACTCATTCTGGGCTCAAACTTGTGATCCTCCTGCCTCAGCCTCCCACAGGGCTGGGATGACAGGCATGCAGCACCCTGCCTGGCACCCCAGGGCCTTCCGATGGTGCCCCCGTCCTCACCTTCTCCGTGGGCTGTTGCAGGATGGGCAGGTTCTCCTCCAGCTTGTCCAGCCCTCTGTGGGCATACTCGCTGGCTGATGTGACTGCAGGAGGGAGAAGGGACAAATAAAAATCCAACTGTGGGGCCAGGTGCGGGGGCGCAGCACCACTGGGGAGGCTGAGGCGGGAGGATCCTGTGTGCTCAAGGCCAGCCTGGGCTACACAGTGAGATCCCGTCCCAACAGGACACACACAGCCAGAGCTATGTCTGGGATTGAGGGGTCTGGGACCGAGGGGTGTGGGGGACACGGCCAAGGGTGCAGCCGATGCCCCAGGACAGTCAGGAGGGGCCTCGTCACTCACGCTGAGGCTCCAGCCGGGACAGGATGGGCTGCGCCCCGCTGACCGCGGCGGCTGTGAGGGCCCTCACACCCTTCTCCGCCGCGTCGCACACGGTCCTGACGTGGGGGTGACTCTCCTTGGTGGACGCGTAGGCGGCTGACACCATGTCGCAGGTGGAGCTGATGAGCGGCATGCTGGTCACGCGGTCCACCACACTGGGCTGCAGGGGGTGGGGGAGGCCGCTGAAGCTCCTGCACCTGCAGGTCTGATGTGTTTCGGCACCGGCACTGGAACCAGAGCCATCCCACTGGGCTCCAGCATCCCCAGCGCTTTCTTATTTTGTATTTTGAGACGGGGTGCAGCTAAGTCACTGAGTTGCCCAGGCGAGACTTGAACTTGTGACCCTCCTGCCTCAGCCTCCCTGCGTGCTAGGATGACAGGAGTGCACCACCTTGATGTTCAGGTCTGCTTGTTTCTGGTGAGCGCCACAGCCCTGCCCTGGAACTCACCTGCTGTGACTGCACAAGCCAGGAATCTTGAGCTTCTGCCATGCAGCTCTGCTGGCCAGTTCCTAGGAGTGAGGACTTATCCCCAGCCTGTGCAGGCACAGGAACCCCTGTCACAGAGCTCAGGGTCTTCATGTGAGCACAGCCACTTCTGTCCTGTGCACCAAACCCAACTGACCATCTGAGTTTTAATTGTTATCTGCATTCCCCTAATACCTTTTCGAATGGTTTCTTGAGAAAGGGTCTCACTATGTAGCCCAGGCTGGCCTCAAACTCTTGGCAACCCTCCCGCCTCAGCCTCCCCAGCACTGGGATTACAGGTGTGCGCCACCACAGCCAGCTCCCTAAAATTGTACTTTTATTGAGATATAATTCTCATACTGTAGATTTCACCCTTTGGAGGCCTGTGTACTGGTGAAATATACTTACAAAGCTATGTGACCACTACAAATTCCAGAGCTCTCATTCTGTGTGTGTGTGACACTGGCGATGACGCTGAGGATCTGTGCACTGAGCTGCATCCTCAACCCTTTTCACTCTTTATTTTGAGGCAGGGTCACTCTCAGTTGTCCAGGGTAGGCTTAAACTTGCAGGCCTCCTACCTCAGCATTCCAGCGCTGAGGCCAGGACGGGCTTCTCCTTTTCCCCCTTGGCCAAGGTGGGGAGGGAACCCAAGACCCCACTGAGCTACACCTCTAAACACTTCTCAGCACCCTAAAGAGGTTGAAGCCCCTCCCCAGGGCCTAACGGCCATCTGCAGGCTGCGCCCCCGCTGCACCTCTAGCAGTGGGGTCCTCAGCGTGGTCATCTGCACCTGGCTTCTCCACGGGGCCCAGGTCCTGCAGGTTCATCCGCACCCAGCACCACCGTCCTCCTTCCTGTCCCTGTGGGTCTGATGACCCTGAGGCCTCCGGGGAGCGGGGCCCTGCCGTGCGTGTCTTCCTGTGTCTGGCTCAGCTCCCTGAGCAACACGACCTCAAGGGCCATCCACGCTGTAGCGGTGTCAGGATTTCCTTCCTTTTCCTGGCTCAGTAATACTTTACTACAGTCTGGTTTTAAAGTTTCATTGGGAGCCGGGGATTTAGCTCAGTGGTTCCACCGCCTGCCTCGCAAGCCCAAGGACCTGAAATCCATAAAGCTGAGAATATTTACTATAAGTCTGTTTATAGACAAACTTTGCTACTCCTAGATACAGAGCATAAATAATATTAGGTGGTAAGAGCTAAAAAGAGGCTAGGTACAATCATACACGCCTGTCAGCTCAGCACTCTAGGAGGCCGAGGCAGGAGGATCCCAAGTTTGAGCCTATCCTGGGCAACTTAGCAAAATAAAAAGGACTGGGGGATGGGGAGTTAGCTCAGTGGTGCTGCACCAGCCTCATAAGCACAAGGTCCTGAGTTCAATCCCCGGTACTGAAAAAAGAAAATAAAATAAAAAGGTGGGATATAGGTCCATGGTGCGCCCACACGGGCCCCTAGGTTCATCCAGGAGACTGAACTCTCACGTGCTTCGGCGTCACCTGGCTTAGTGGAGCCCTGAGAGGCACTCAGCGTTGTTCCAAGGTCACACGTAGGGAGAGTGAGGCCTGAAGAGGCCACAGAAATCCCCCAAAGTCACAAATTGAGCTGGTCCTGGACCCGAGCAGGGAGCCCAGGCCTTTACCTCCCCTCAGTGGGGTCTTCAGAGGCCATCGTGTATCGGGGGGCCTGCTCAGGTCCCAGGCACCACAAAACCCAAAGTAAGGGAATCACAAGTTTCCCATAGGATCCAGTGATGTCGTTCCTAGAACCAGCCCCAGAGACCGGAAAACTCTCACCCGGGCCTGAGTCATAACCCAACTGTCTTTCGGCAGGGAAGAGATTAAAGAACATAAAACACGTTTCACACTGTTGTCCTAGCACTTGGGAGGCCGAGGCAGGAGAATCACCCTGAGTTGAAGGCCAGCCTGGACTACGTAGTGAGACCCTGTCTCAAAAGAGAAAGAAAGAAAGAAAGAGAGAAAGAAAGAGGGGCCCGGGATTTAGCTCAGTGGTTCCGCCGACTGCTTTGTAAGTGCAAGGACCCGAGTTCGATACCTGGTGCCAAAAAAAGAAAGGAGAGAGGGAGGCACGGAGGAGGGGAGCGAAGCAGAGAAGGGTAAAGAGGCCTCTTGCCCCAATCCCTCTGCACCCGCACACAAGTCATAGGGTTGGGCAGCCCCAGGCCTTCCTCACCTGCTGTTCCGGTTCCTCAGGGGTCACCTGGCTGTCCGCACCAGCCTCTGTCCCTTGGGCATCCATGCTCTCAGCAGCAGGCACTGCGGGCAGAGGGAGCTCTCAGGACAGCCTGCCTGACCCCTCCCTCGGGGGAGTGGGGGACACTGGGTTCACAGTCGCCCTGGACCACCTCATCCCTTACAGCTGGGCCTCTGTCACTGGGGGACACCAGGGTCACCTGCGCGGGTGCTAAACAGCAGGTGTGACTCAGAAAGTCAGGTGGGGAAAACCAGTCTCAGCCAGTTTTTCCTTCCCGCACTGGGATTGGAACCCAGGGCCTTCAAAATGAGCCGCATCCCAGCCTTTTTATTTTTCAATCTGAGACGGGCTGGCTAAGTCACTAAGTAGCCCAGGCTGGACCAGAACTCATGATCCTCCTGCCTCAGCCTCCGGAGCAGCTGGGATGACAGGCCGTGCGCCATCTCACCAGACTCCTACTCCAAGAGTTCACCTTTGTCACCGCTAGTCCAGAGACGGAGATCTAGGCCAGAACCTCTGCAGAGGGCAATCTGATAACCCCTGCAGATTACAGCAGCCACCTTCCCCTTGCCCTGGAAACCTCCTTTCGGGGAGGACCTCACGCCAGCTCTGCCACGCGCTGGTGGCGAGTGCACCTGTGCCAACTATGCCGTGACCTTGGGGCCGACCCAGAGGCCTAGTAGAGGGAATTAAAGAACATAGAGCAGCCAATGATGAATGTAACTGTACTGTATACCTAAAATATATCAATAAACTCAATGAGAAAAAAGAAAAGAAAGCAGCAGGGCATGGAGGCGCATCCCTGTGATACCAGCACGCAGAAGGCTGAGTCAGGAGGATCGCGGAAAGCTCAAGGGCAGCCTAAACTACATAGGGGAGGCCCTGTCTCAAACAAACCACCAAATAAATAAATACAGTAACACACAGTAACACACGTCCCCCTAATCCCAGCAGGGCTCGACACTGAGCGGAACTGACATGGGTCAAGACTGTTAAGAGATAAAAGGTGCTGACCTGGGCAAAAGCTTTCGCTGGCTTTGCAGGGTGTTTATTTAATGAGACACAGGACACTGAGCGGTGGCCACCTTTCAGGAAGGAGGATTGGGTAGCTGGAGGTAGGGACGAGACAGAGGCTTCAGAGTTTAAAGCCAAATCAGTAACATTAGCTGTTCGGAAACAAGTAAGGACTCGGGGTGAAGCTCAGGGGTGTGTTTTGCCTACCATGCTCAAGACCCTTGGTTTAGATCCCCAGTGCTGCAAAGAAATAGAATCAAGCTTTAAAAAAAATTTAATTTTTTTGGGGGGGATACCAGGGATCGAACTCAGGACCTTGGGTTTACAAGGCAGATGGAGCCACCACTGAGCTAAAGCCCCGGCCCCAAGCTTTAAAAAAAATTAAGCCAGGCCAAAAGTAAAACATCAAGCCCAGTGTAGTGGTACATGCCTGTAATCCCAGCACTCAGGAGGCTGAGGCAGGAGGATCACAAGTTTTTTAGGTCAGCCTGAGCAATCTGAAGAGATACTGTCTCAGAGTAAAAAGTGAAAAGGTCTGGAGGCCTAGCTACAAGCACTGGGGGGTTAAATCCCCATTAGCACACACACAGTTTTTCAATCTGAGACGGGCTGGCTAAGTCACTAAGTAGCCCAGGCTGGACCAGAACTCATGATCCTCCTGCCTCAGCCTCCGGAGCAGCTGGGATGACAGGCCGTGCGCCATCTCACCAGACTCCTACTCCAAGAGTTCACCTTTGTCACCGCTAGTCCAGAGACGGAGATCTAGGCCAGAACCTCTGCAGAGGGCAATCTGATAACCCCTGCAGATTACAGCAGCCACCTTCCCCTTGCCCTGGAAACCTCCTTTCGGGGAGGACCTCACGCCAGCTCTGCCACGCGCTGGTGGCGAGTGCACCTGTGCCAACTATGCCGTGACCTTGGGGCCGACCCAGAGGCCTAGTAGAGGGAATTAAAGAACATAGAGCAGCCAATGATGAATGTAACTGTACTGTATACCTAAAATATATCAATAAACTCAATGAGAAAAAAGAAAAGAAAGCAGCAGGGCATGGAGGCGCATCCCTGTGATACCAGCACGCAGAAGGCTGAGTCAGGAGGATCGCGGAAAGCTCAAGGGCAGCCTAAACTACATAGGGGAGGCCCTGTCTCAAACAAACCACCAAATAAATAAATACAGTAACACACAGTAACACACGTCCCCCTAATCCCAGCAGGGCTCGACACTGAGCGGAACTGACATGGGTCAAGACTGTTAAGAGATAAAAGGTGCTGACCTGGGCAAAAGCTTTCGCTGGCTTTGCAGGGTGTTTATTTAATGAGACACAGGACACTGAGCGGTGGCCACCTTTCAGGAAGGAGGATTGGGTAGCTGGAGGTAGGGACGAGACAGAGGCTTCAGAGTTTAAAGCCAAATCAGTAACATTAGCTGTTCGGAAACAAGTAAGGACTCGGGGTGAAGCTCAGGGGTGTGTTTTGCCTACCATGCTCAAGACCCTTGGTTTAGATCCCCAGTGCTGCAAAGAAATAGAATCAAGCTTTAAAAAAAATTTAATTTTTTTGGGGGGGATACCAGGGATCGAACTCAGGACCTTGGGTTTACAAGGCAGATGGAGCCACCACTGAGCTAAAGCCCCGGCCCCAAGCTTTAAAAAAAATTAAGCCAGGCCAAAAGTAAAACATCAAGCCCAGTGTAGTGGTACATGCCTGTAATCCCAGCACTCAGGAGGCTGAGGCAGGAGGATCACAAGTTTTTTAGGTCAGCCTGAGCAATCTGAAGAGATACTGTCTCAGAGTAAAAAGTGAAAAGGTCTGGAGGCCTAGCTACAAGCACTGGGGGGTTAAATCCCCATTAGCACACACACAGAAAGGGGGCGGGCACAAAGGGGGCCAGGAATGAGCTACCAAGGCTACCAAGGCCCTGGGCTGGAAGGGAGGGGAGGACGCATCAGCCTGCCCATCTCTACCCCTAAAGCCGCACACACTGGGGTGCAGGCCAGACCAGCGCCTCAGCCCTGGCCTCCCCCGACGCCGGGTCCCACTCAGGACTCTGGCCACTCCCTCCTGCTCCTTTCGTCCATCACCCCCTACTGGAGCTGCTTCCGGGAGTGACCACTGGGGACGCGAGCACCCCTCAGTCCTCAGGGTTGGCGACCTGCACGAAGCTGGTGTCCAGAGCTGCTCTGGCGGGAGCTGACGCAACTTCCCCAAAACACCCGCCCCACACCCAAATCCGCTCTCTCCTCTACAAAAGCCTGCCATCCCAGCACTCTGGGAGGCTGAGGCAGGAGGGTGGATCGAAAGTTCCAGCCCCTCCTGGGCCACTCAGGGAGACCTTGTCTCAAAATATAAAATTAAAAATGGGTGCGCGCGTAGCTCGGTGAGAAGGCCCTGGATTCTAATCCTCGGCACAAAAAAGAAAAGAATGAAGACTTCGAAATTCCAAGAGTCCAAAGTCCTAGGCCCAGCGTCAGAGGAATCCTTCGCAATTTCCCGGCCACACCCACCCATGGGAAAGGCAGGATTTGCCCAGGAAAGACCCCCGAGGTGCCAGCCAGAGCTGGGGGCAGCTCCCGGGTGGCAAAGCCGTTCTGGGTGGGGGGGCCTTGGGAGGCCTAGGGTCCCGGAGAAAGGGAGGAGTCCCCAGGTCACCAATCTTGCTGTTGCAACCGCGTTTGCAAAAAGCAGCCCAGGCTTCCAGCGCACAGGGGATCGGGAAGGGGACAGGATGTGGCCCGCCCCCCTTGATACGAAGTAGCTCCTGGTCCCGGGCACGGCGACGACGGCGTGAGGTCTCAGTCTGTCCCAAAAGTTACATTTCTCCGCGGACCGGGAGCCCAGCGCTCTCCTTTCCTGAGGTTTCCCAGGACCCCGGGACCCCGCCCCCGGGTCACCTCGGGGGCCCTCGCTCCTCACCACGGTCCGCGATCTCCAGGGCCGGCGCGGAAAGTGGCCCGGACGGGGCGGGACGGGTCTTTAACCCCCCGGGAGGGCGGGGCCCGAGAGCGACGGGCCCGACAGCCAATCACGTCAGGGGGGCTGCCCGCCGCCGGCCCCGCCCTTCCCCTCTACCCAGGACCCAGGACGAGACCGTGGTTTAAATTAAGTAGGACTTCGATCCCTGGTTCTGGAGGGGACGGGACCTTGGACGACGCCGGACCCAGCAAAGGGGAGCCCCTTCCCCCCCTGGGGACTCTGAACTCAGTCATGGGTGGTGAGTGGGCGCAATCCGGGGCACTGTGTGGGTCGCCACGTCCCACCCAACAACAGGAACAAGGAATCCCATTGGTCAGCCCTCACTCAAAGCTTTCTGCCTGCACAACCCCAAATCCACCTCTTTTTCTTGTTTGTTTTGTTTTTGGGTGGTTTGTTTGTTTGTTTGTTTGTTTGAGACAGGGTCTCACTATGTAGGTCAGGCTGGCCCCAAACTCATTCTGTAGCCCAGACTGGCCTTGAACTCGCAGTAATCCTCCTGCCTCAGCCTCCTGAGTGCTGGGACTACAGGTGTGCGCCTCTATGCCCAGCCCAAATCCAGTCTCTTAATCCTTCCAAAACTGTGTTGTCCCTTTGTCCCGTTTTATAGTTGCTGAGGCCCAGAGATGGTCAGCCAAAGATGCTCTAGGGCCCAAGCCTCAGGCTCTGTGGCTCCTGGATCGACCTCTTCCTGAAGCTGCCAACCTTATTTCCCCCTCAAAAAAAATAATTATTCTTTGCCTTTTGGGTCTATAACCCAAGATCTGAGACTCAGATGGCTCTGGAAGCTGGGTAGGAGGGGATGGCACCACGCCCGGCTCTTGCCCTAGGGAAGACACTCACCTGGGAACTGTAGATCTACAGGAAGTCAGACTTCGTAAATGTTCTGTCTCTCGGAAAACTTTGGGGCCAAAGGAAATCTAGCTGGGGCTGTGTCCAGTCAGGGACCACCCAGCTGCCATTTCTGATAAATTGTATGGATGGGGAAATTTTTCAGAAGAGTAATAAATTATATGGATGGAGTGGGGCTTCCAAGGCCTCTAGAAAAAGCATGGGAAGACAGGGACATCAGAGACTGCATTTTCTCTGGTCAGGGTGACACAGCATTGTACCGCAGAAGTCCTGTGATGGCACAGTGGGAATGTTCTAGAATTCTCCAGCACCCAATCGAGTGGCATCTGTACTGTATTTCTATATAGGGTCTGCTAAATCGTTCTGTTGCCCAGATTGGGCTCAAGCTTGAAATCCTCCTGCCTCAGCCTCCTCCAGAGTGCTGGGATGACATGTCCTCTTCCTGCTCATTCATTTCACTGTATTTATTCCACTCTTGTGCTGGCTGTAGCGGGCATGGCCATGAACCCAACAAAAAGTCCAGCCCTGTGCTGCTGGCTGCCCAGTGGCAGAAACAGCCAATAAACCAGACAGGTGAAAGTTCTGTATTTGGAGGCATGGGGTGAACAAGCGCTATGAGGAAAGCCAAGAAAGAGTCAGAGGTGTGGGGGTGCAGCTTTACCAGGGTGCTCAGGGGAGGCCTTAGTGAGTGATATTTGGGTACAGAAGTGAGGGGGATACATGAGATGGAACCATGGAGAGAAACAGAAGAAAAGTCTTCTGGAGAGAGGGCACAGCTGTGCAAAGGTCCTGGGGCAGGGCAGAGCCTGGTGCAGTCCAGGAGCAGCAAGGCACCCCTGTGGCTGGAGCAGAGAGGGGAGGGGAGGCAGGACTGGTTTAGAGAGATGAAGGGATTTATCCGAGGTCACAGAGCTCAAAGGTCAAGGAGGTGGCCTTCAGCTCCCTAGTGGCTTAAGTGCCCAGATATCTCTGGTAGGGGATGGAACCCAATTGTGATATGGAAGATAAATTCCTATTTATTCTGCCCCCCACCTTTGGAGCAAAAAGGGACAGGAGTTGGTCCTTGGGTAGTGGAAAACATGGGAGAGAAGACAGAGGGTGCCGGGAGAGGGGGCGGGGAGCTGGGGGTAACAGGCTGGGTGTTCTCTCCGCACATGTGGGGGAAGCGGGGAGGGGCCTTATCAGCCGCTCAGGGATTTCCTGAACCTTCTCCGCCTGGGACACTCCCGCTGTTCCTACCCCCTTGTGCCTTCCCCAGAAGCCATCCTTGTGAATCCCCAGACTCCCCAGACTGAGGTTGTCTGGTGAAATTCAGGAAGCTGCTGATGTTTTCATCTCAGATCAGTAGCACGTACTGTACAGCTTTTCTTTTGCTACAGTGTATCCCATGATATGTGTGATTTACTGACTCTCACTTAAACATTCATTCCCAGCCAGGTGTGGTGGCGGAAGCGTCATCCCTGCACTGTGGGAAGCTGAGGCAGGAAGATCACAAGTTCAAGCCCAGCCTGGGCAACTTAGTGACTTAGCAAGATCTTGTCTCAAATGTTTTTTGTTGTTGTGTTTTTGTTTTTTTGAGACAGGGTCTCACTCTGTAGTTGAGACTGACCTGGAACTCACTGTGTAGCCCAGGCTGGTCTCAAACTCACAGCGATCCTCTTGCCTCAGCCTCCCAAGTGCTGGGATGACAGGCGTGCACCACCACACCCAGCTTGTCTCAAACTTTTTAAAAAGAGGTGTGGGCATAGTTCACTGACAAAGACCTGGGTTTAATTCCTGATTCAAAATTAAAAAGTAGGAAAGCCGGGTGTGGTGGCACATACGCCTGTAACCCTAGCACTCGGGAGGCTGAGGCAGGAGGATCGCTGTGAGTTCAAGACCAGCCTGGGTTACATAGTGAGTTCCAGGTCAGTCTCAACTACAGAGTGAGACCCTGTCTCAAAAAAAAAAAAAAAAAATCAAACGTAGGGCTGAGGATTTAGCTCAGTGGTGCTGCCACCTGTGTCACAAGAGCAAGGCCCTGAGTTCGATCCCCGTACCGGGAAGAAAGAAAAAAAAAAGACACTGGTGCAGGACTGGCCTCCTGGCCTCCTGCAGCGCTGGAATTCAATGTAGGAAGTAGCTGCTGTTCCCTGAGCCCTCAGCAGCCTGATAGGGGGTAGCTCACAGAGGCAGAGTGACTTTCCTGGGCAGGTCACACAGCCAGAAACCACCGGGCACTGGGTCTGAACCCTCAGCTCTCTGCCTCGGAGGTTTTTATTTCTGTTGTTTGCCTCTGTCTCTTTCCTTCCCACCAAACCCACTTCCCAGGCAGAGGGCTCTGAAATTCTGCCCCTTCTTTTCCCCTCTAGTTGGGAAGCAGAGTCAGGACAGCATCCTGACACACGGGGGCGCACTGGTCCTGGATTGGTTCCCACCTGGCCCAGGTGGGTTTTTTGTTTGTTTTTTTTCCTGGTACCAGGGGTCCAACTGGGGTCCTTGCGCTTGTGAGGCAGGCGCTAGAACCAATGAGCTAAATCCCCGGCCCCTGGCCCAGGTGTTCTCTGTTTGCCCTCTGACTTCCCTCTGTCCATCTGTTCCTCATACGTTTCCTGTTATCCATCAGCCAAGCTAGCGATTCACTAGTTATTCAGTCATTCAACAAACTTTTCTTTTTGTTTTGCTTTTTTGAGACAGAGTCAGCTTGACCTTGAACTCACTATGTAGCCCAGGCTGGTCTCAAATTTACAGTGATCCTCCTGCCTCAGCCTCCCAAGTGCTGGGATTACAGGTGTGCACCACCACACCCGGCTCAGTAATTATTAAGCACTGCTGTGTACCAGTCTCCAGGTAGGCAGCCCTGGGCAGCTTGCAAGGCACGAATAATTCACTGGGAAGACACATGTTCGCAGAAATGAGCAGGAATCAGACAGGGAAAACGTTCAGGTGAAACGTGGGACATGGGCATAGACAGAGCTGGACAACTTGGCAAAGACCAAGCTAGCAGTGTCACAGGGCACTGGGGAGCCACAGCAGACTCTGGAGCTAGACCAGCCAGGGCAGATGGACTAGTTGAAAGATCTCCAGGGCTGCCCAGTGGATACAGGTTCAAGGGGGCAGAGGGTGGATGATGGGGAACCTGGAGGGGAGAAACGGTTCCTTGCTTCAGTAAGTAGAGAGGAAAAAGTGCGGCAGGAAGAGGTGCAGAGGGACAGAAGGTGGGAGCAGTGCTGGCAGGACATGGAAGCACCGTCTGTTCCCTCATTCTCTCCTTTGGGAAGGGCCTTTGTTTTGTTTCCGTTCCAGGGGTTGAACCCAGGGCCTTTGCACAGAGCCATGCTCCAGCCCTTTTCATCTCTCATTTTGAGGCAGGGACACAGAGCGGGGGATCCGTGACCACCACAGCTGTCCCAGCCCCCCTGGGCTTTGTGCGCCAGCTGCCCGCTGCCCCGTGAGTTTCTGGCCTGGGCAGTGGTAGGTTTGGGGGAGGGGAGTGGCTCCGAGGCTCAGGTTCCAGACCCTGCCCACCTCTCCCCTGACTCTGTTCCTGGGCCCCTCTGTGCAGGTGACACCGGGCCACGTGCTGGAAAAGCCCCCCCCCATGTTTCCTGCCAGCCTCCATAGTGGCCTGCAGGCGGGCGGGTAGAACCAGAAGCAGCTGGGCGGGCCTGGTGGCACACTCCTGCCATCCCAGCGCTCTGGGAGGCTGAGGCAGGAAGATCGCAAGTTTGAGCTCAGTTGTATCCACTGGGCAAGACCTCTGCCCCAAAAATAAAACTAAAACGAACTGGGGATGGAGCTCAGTGCAAAGGCCCTGGGTTCAACCCTCGGTGACCCTTTAAAAAATGTGCTAGAAAAACAGCCCCTGCTGCAGCTGACCGGGAGCAAGCCCTGGTGGGACTCTGTCCCTCACGCCACCTGCAGCTGCCCCACGCTGAGGACCCTTGTCGGGCAGCCAGGCGGGCACAGGGACACAGCCGCCAGGATGTGCCCCTCACGTTGGTGGCAGGGAACAGGCCGCTCTTGGCTCTCCCGCCACCCCTTTTGTTCCCGGGAGGAGGGGGGGGCTGTTGTCCTGGCAACCAGCCGCCTCCCCCAAAAAGCAGATAGTTGAGGGGGGATCTGGGGGCACCTTGGAGCTGAACCTGGGGGTTCTAGCCAGGGAGGGACCCTTGTTACCCAGAA